TCTGATGTAACATACCATTTAAGGCCTGTCTGGATCATCTATTCTTTGATGAAAATAGGCTATAAGAGTCCCCTACTATTATTGTATTGCTATCTATTTCTCCCTTTAGATCTGTTAATATTTGTATTGTATGATTAGATGCTCCCTTACCTGGCTCTTAACGTAGGTTATATGCTTTTTTCAGAACTTCAGGAAAGAGTAACTTCCACTTTTATTTCTGCCACCTTCCATAAGTAGAAAGAGTGTTTTATTTAATTGGTGATTTGGGAAGACAAAAATAAGTCTCAGTCCCTTTCTTGCCATGTTTTGCAGATTTACCTAACCACAACAGATTATGTTTTATTCTGTTCCTCATTCTGTGTAATAAACTAGACACATGTGAAATAGGGCCCAGGCCTACCTCCTAGAGCAAGCCTGAGGCCTAATTCTCATTCCTTCTACTGTTGACCTTACTGAGTGTAAAACTGATTCTGTCTAAGTTTATCTGTCCTGAAAACCTAAATTTTCATTTGGTATGTCATCTCCCATTTGGACCTGGGGAGAGGTGCTGAAAATCCTGGTTGTGGCTGTACATTGAAGTCATGTTGTCCAAGCAGCTTCATCAGTAAGAAGCTTTTTAAAAATTTTTTTCTCTATCTGACTCCCTGTCAATTGGTTCTGAATTTAGAAAAGTGTTAAGACATGTAAGCAGCTATCACTGCCTAATTCCCATTATTGATAGGGCAACTCTACCCAAAAGTGGTTGTTTTATAAGAACCTACGTCTCATAAAAGAAATGGAAAATGAATTCTTGACAGTCTGACCATAAGGGAATAAAAGACTCCAGAAAAGAATGATAGTAATTATTAGAGGATTAGTAAAATAAGAATTTGTTCATTTATTCATGAATGCCTAAGCAGTGTTCTAAGTAAAAGTTTAAAGAGTTAGAATACTTTAAACAAAAGTTCCCTGGTGCTCTAATTTGGCTGTTTGAGTTTTGAATTGTTATAATGATCAACAGCAGAGCAATGTTTTATATGCAAAGTCTGTATGATTCATTCAGTATAATAAATATAACATTTGAGTGCTTATTACTTATCAAACAAGCAATTCCTATACAATATCTGATTGGATCATCAAAACAAATCTATGAGATAGATAAACTAGAATAGTCTAAATTATCCTGCAGTTGGAAAAGAAAGTCAGTGGTCCAACTGAACAGATTTATTTCTTTTTCCAAAAAGTTGGCTCTGGTTGCAGACAACTGTCCTCCACGTAATGCCATGATAATCCTGGTTCTTTCAACCTTGTAGTGTCACCATCTTAACATAAGTCTTCTTTCATAATTGTCCCAGTAGGGAAAGAAAGACTGGGGTGTTTCATATGGACCTTCCATGACCTCATTCTAAAATTGACAGGTCAATTCCATAATATTTAATTGGCCAGACTGAGTCACAAAGCCCCAACTGGTTGCAGGGTTGCTGAGATATAGTCAATCCACAGAGCACCCAGAAGGGAAAGAGAACTGAATATCGATTAATACTAGCATTACATACCATTAATGGCTATTATTATTGTTCCCTTTGCATAGGTGAGGAAATGGAGGCTTAGCAAGGTTAAGTAACTCATTCAGGTTTACACAGAAGTAAGCAGAGGTGCCATTTATGTGAACCAGGATAATCTGACTCCAGAGTTTATACCTAAATCCTATACTTCTTAACATCACGCTGGAAGCCTGGCAGAACCTAGCCATCACTAAGGATATTTAATTCAGCTCAATTCAAATCACAATACATTTACTAAATGCTCTCTTTGTGTCAGGCACTGCATTTCCATCTGGAGGAGTGTTAGATTATTTGACCATTTAGATCTATTCCAACTTTGAGATTGATATAAACAAATGGAACAACTGTGATGGTTAATTTTATATGTAAATTTGGCTGGGCTGTAGTGCCCAGCTATTTTGTCAAAGTTTACTTTGATGTTTCTGTGCAGGTGTTTTTCGATGAGATTAACATTTAAATTGGTAGATTTTGGGGATGTGGGAGGGCCTCATCCAATCAGTTGAGGGCCTTAATAGAACAAAGACTGACCTCCTCCAGCAAGAAGGAATTCTGCCAGCAGACTGCAACTCTTCTCTGAGTCTTCACAGTCACGTGAGCCAGTTCTTTAAAATAAACAAATCTGTACCCATTAATGAATCTCTCTCTCTCTCTCTATGTATACACACACACACACACACGCACACACACAACAAAATCCTATGCAAACTATTTATATTTTAAAATGTCAAGTAAAATAGCAGAATCCTAGGCTAGAATAATCTACAAAAATAAGTCAATGTTTATTATATTTTATATAATACAAGATTTTTTAAAAACTTAATTATAAAATACATAGTTTTTTGCAAAGAATCTTATAAACTGAAAAAACAGCCAAAACACTCTGCCACATATAGGCCTTAGAATGTGGTTTTATAGTCAGTCTGTCTACTCAGGAGAGCGTTCTAATTATCTTCACAAACTCAGTGTTGTAAGAATGTGTGTCTAGGTGTTAATTATCATTTTAGAAGGAATTCAGTTCTCCTACACAACTGAGAATGCTAACAGTCTCCAATTTTAATTTGTCTTCCTGTATAAGATGCTGTTTCTGAAGTATTTAGTTGCCCCCTGCTGGTCACACAATTATAGATTTCCTAAAAATATAGATTTCTCAGTAAATTGCATATGATTACAAACTTCTAAAGGGATGCATTGAACTTTTCCATCAATGAATTCACAGTGGATTTCCAGGGCTCAACTGAGATAAGTAAGTTAACCCAGTGTTCTTCCTAAATGTGATTCTCTTCTTTCTTTCATGTCATATATTATGTCTCTTCAAATCCTTTTTGAAACCAGGTGGGAATAACATCAAATTGAGAGGGGAAAAAAGTGCTTGTTCAAGAATCTTAAAAACTGCATTTTTATTCTGTCTCTGCTACCACCTCTCTGACTAATCTTGGACAAGACAGTTTAACTTCTTAATACCTACTTCCTCATCTGCAATTTGAAGTATAATTGACGTGCAATAAAGTGTACTTATTTAAAGTATATTTTGATAAGTTTGATGTATGTATACAACCATGAAACTGAAACAAGATAGTAAACATATTTATCACTCCCAAAGTTTTTTTGTGCCACTTAGTATTTCTTTCTTTCTCCTCCCGCCCCTCCCAGGCCTCTCCTATCCTCAAGTAACCACTAATGTGATTTTGTCACTATTGATTAGTTTATATTTTTCAGAGAAGATTGGAAACTTTAAGCTCACTAGTTTAAGTGACTAAAATGAGATATGGAAAAACTTAACTTCTTTTACAATATTTTTAAAATTGAGATTTCCTGTGTTGATACCTGAGGCAACAGGTGATGCAGTGGTTAAAGGCCTTAACTTTAGTGTAAGTAGACATGATCTTGGGTCTTGGCTTTGTTATTCACGAGCTG